AAATACATAAGGGAAATTAACCCTATATAGTTTTTCTATATTCAACAGTTACCATCTAGGGTGATCATGAGCCTCATGGACAATATTAGGAATAAAATATCAGCCAAAGAGACAACAAAGGAATAATATAAAGGAGACAATCGATGGTAACTTAAAAAGTTATAAATAGGAAAGGGATTCCGAGTGTAACAATACCTTTTCTGAGTGTAATAAGTCAGCCAGAATTAGAAGTGGGAGGGGAGGTTGAAGGATTCATGACATGAGAAGCTGATGGAGAAGGTTCTAAATCACCATTATATGCAGAAACTAGTAAAGGTGTAGGAGGGATCCTACGATGATGTGTGAGAAGAGGAGGAGAATCAGTTTGACCTGTAGGTTGAATCGGAGAAGGATCAGGTATTATAAGTGGATCACATGAAGATATGAGAAAAACATGCTGAATAAAGTAACCATCCTCCATGGAAGAAAAGAAGGGTATTTCCTCAAAGAAAGTGACATTAGCAGACATATAATACCTTTTGATGGATGGAGAATAATATTTGTACCCTTTTTGGAGGCGAGAGTATCCCAAAAAAACACATTTAAAGTCCTTAGCAATTAGTTTATTAAGATCTGAAGATACATTATGGACAAAACACGTACAACCAAATACACAAGGAGAAACATGATAAAGAGGATCATCTGGAAAGATAATGGAATTTGGAATTTGATTTTGAAGAGAAGAAGATGACATCCAATTAATAAAAAAACAAGCAGTGAAAACTACATCTCCCCAATGATAAATAGGGACATTGCCATTCAACAATAGGGAGCGTGCAGTCTCAATAAGATGCTTATTTTCCTTTTTGCTATACCATTTTGCTATGGGGTGTGAGGACAAGTTGATTGATGTAAAATTCCTTGGGAAGATAAAAAAGAAGAGAAGGAGGCTGAAAAATATTCTTTGACATTATCACTTTTGAGAACTTTAATTATCTTTTCAAATTGATTTTTAATTTTATTGAAGAAGAACACAAAAATAGATAAAAGTTCAGATCTGTCTTTCATTAAATAAACCCAAGTACATATGGAAAATTTATTAATAAAGGTTACAAAATATCGAAAGTCAAATTAAGAGACACGACTTGGTCCCCAAACATCAATATTTGAAAAAAGAAAATTATATCGAGTTTCAGAATGTTTAGGGAAGATAGACTTAACATGTTTTCCTAGTTGACAAGATTCACATTCTAAAACTCGTAGATATTTGAGATTAGGAGTCATCACTTTCAACTTAGATAAACTTGGGTGATCCAAATGTTTATGCAAAAGTTTAGAAGCAGGAGAAGCAAGACAAAACACTGAGGGACTTGGATTTAGATAGTACAGACCACGTGATTCATATCCTTATCCAATTAAACGATTTGTACTATGTTCCTAAATGTTGAAAGTCCCACATCGTCTACCTCGTATCATTTGGTATGGTTTAAATACATGTTAGGCTACTCCACATATTGCCAATTGGTTTTATGTTGGAACCTTAACATGGTATCAAAGCCAAAGTCTAACATCTTTCCGGTTATTGTCATGGGCCAAAAGTTGCCCTTTTAGTTGGGTCAAAAGTACCCTTTGCCTGGTCCATCAGGCTTCGTTGGAGGGGGTGTATTGAAAGTCCCACATCGCCTACCTCATATCATTTGGTATGATTTAAATACATGTTAGGCTACTCCACATATTGCCAATTGGTTTTATGTTGGAACCTTAACACTAAATAATAAAAGAATTGGAATTAAAGGTTACAGAACAATTCAAAGTACGAGTCAATTGACTTAGGCAAATCAAGTTATAAGGGTAATTAGGAGTGAAAAGAATAAAATTTAAATTCAGAAAATGGGTTAAAGGAACTTGGCCAATTCTTTGTGACTTCACTTTAGATCCATTAGCCACAATAATCAAATGAGGAATTTTAGGATAGGCCATAGAGGAAAATTAGGAACTATTACCAGATATATGATCAGAGGCACTTGAATCAAGAATTCATAGGTTCTAACCTTCCACAGATTGAGAAATGCATGCTATTGAAACACTTGGCATTGGAGAAGATTGACCCTGACTATTGAATTTTCCTGATTTGAACTTCAAAAATTCCTGATACTCTTCATCAGAGATATTCATATCCTATTTTTCAGACTTCGAGATATAGGTAGTAGTATTTTTATCAAGAAAATCATGTAAGGAATAGTAGTTTTCTTGCGTATGCCTCATCTTCTTGCAAGACGAGCATTGCAGACGACCTTTTGTACTTTCACGTCCTCCTCAATTGTTACGTCCTCCCCCTCGACCACAAGGAGCAACCATAGTTGAATATTCATCTGTCTCCACCTGATTCTCATCTGTTATAAGATTGAGAACTCGAATCAGCCTCATAACAAGATTATCCATTAATGAAATTTGATCATCAACTAATATTTGATCATGTACATGATCAAAATCAGAATCCAAACTCTTCAAAATTAGAATCATATACAACTTATTCAGTTTGGAGTTTAACTCCTCTAAGGTATTTGCCACAAGAAACCTTTTTAATTCCTCCACAACAATCCTAACTTTTGCAATGTGAGACATCATGTCAAGATTTGTCTGCTTGAGCGATATCACACTTTGAGTTGTATCAAAGAGATGCTGAATATCGTTAACAAAAGTGTCTTAAGCCTTCTTCCAAAACGAAGAACAAGTTTTGAATAACTTGAGAAGCTCAAGAACCTCAGATTCCACAAATTGCCATAAGATTGCACATAGTTGGAAGTCTATTTTCTCCCATTGGGACCTTTCAGAGGTAGAAATAGAGTTTACATATTTATCCAGATGGTCATGATACCCCTACCCTAGAAACCAGAGTTCATCAAATGCAAATTAGGATAGATAATTTTTCCAGTTGAGTTTGACACTAGTTATGGTGGGAGTAGCAGAGAAAGAGAAAGCACTGGATGAAGCCATGTGAATCTGTTAGGAATCCTGATATTCCTAATAATATTGTAAATACTCTTGAACCAAACAAGACAAAACATTGGTTGGTTTATTCTAGGAGAAAGAAATCTGTTAATAAAAGTAGTTAGTTGTTTCTGTTCAACTGTTTCTAATCAACTATTAATAATAGTTGATAGAAGTGCTTTAGGGGGGACAAATATTTTTGGGGGTTGTTTTGTAAATCTGGCAGTGAACCTTTCTCTGAGGAGCCTAGTTTTGGAGGTTGCTTGTATTCTTGTATCTGTACTAGAATTCAATAAGATTTTCTTTCATTCTTTCTTCTTTATCTTTGCATTTTTCCTTAAAACATATCATTGTCCGACCTGCCAGATATTGTAAGGTGGATCCATTCAGAATTTTTTCAATGACGAGACGTGGAGCACTTGAGACTGTGCGGGGGGAGGCGACAGAGGAAAGATTGAGTTCTTTGGAAGAAAAACTTGATGCCTTCATGGAGACGGTAACATGAAGGTTTGAGGCGTTAGTGGAGCTGGTGCGGAATTCTGGCAGCAAACAGACAGATAGAAAGAATGAAAAAAAATCTTATTGAATTTCAGAACAGATACAAGAATACAAGCAACCTCCAGAGCTAGGCTCCTCAGAGAAAGGTTCTCTGCCAGATTTACAAAACAACCCCCAAAAATAATTGCCTCCCCTAAAGCACTTCTATCAACTATTATTAATAGTTGATTAGAAACAATTAAATAAAAACAGTTGAACAAAAACAATTAACAACCTCTAACTACTTTTATTAACAAATTTCTTTCTCCTAGAATAAGCCACCAATGTTTTACCTTGTTTGGTTCAACAGTATTTACAATATTATTAGGAATATCAAGATTCCTAACAGAATCAAAGATGAGAGATAAAACTAACCCATAGGAGAACCACGAGACTTAGCTACCAAAGTTCCCAAAACAGGAAAGTGAGGGTACCACTGGACTCAGAGGATGCTGGCGAGTCAACCGGTGGTGATCAGTTTCGATCACCAGAAGACGGCGCGTGGGACACATGCACCTGAGAGCTCCTCTTGGAAAAGCTGCGTGTGAGGCAGCGGATGGAGGAGCAATTTGCAAGGGTGGGTCGTGCTCTTTGAGGCGCACAAAACCCCCACCTTCATTGGACCAAACTGAGACGGTGGCCAGCGGCGAACGTCGGCCCACGATGGTCGGAGGTGACAGGGATAATTGGAAATCAGTGCGGGATCTCACCCGTTCTGATACCAACTTGAGAAAACTATTTAGGGTTCAATACAGTGCTTTGACAATGTTACATTGTATATATAGAAAAGGAGATACAACAGAGAGGATACGGGCCTCAGCCCAAACCCTTAATTCTAGTCTAAGGAACATTCAAAGGGAATACAAAAAGATAGATGAACAAATATATCTCAACAAAATCTTATTTCAAACTTTTTTTTTTTGTTGGTTGATATTTTGTATCACGTTTTCTCCTATTACATTGTAAGAATTGTTATGTTCATGACAAAATATGTAAGGTAAACATAGTACAGGCATGAATAAATTATGTTTGTAATGTACCTACAATTAATGTTATAATATCATGGTGCTTTTGAGATTTACACTTGGTTTTAAATATAATTTAACAAGTTGGTAAACATAATTTACCAAATACATTAATATTAGTATAAGTATTCATGACATGTTATTATGGAAATTTCGTGGTTATATAACATCTTGGTTAAGTTTTAGCTGAGTTGTCATTATATGACATGTTTTGTATATTTAAGTGATATTTATTTTGTTAGAATTCAAATTGCATAATGACACCGAGCAAGAAAGTAAGGACGGACTACTGATGGTATACCTGTAGAACTTTATTTCCTTTCTCCTTTCTCATGCAAGCATTTTTAACATCCAAATATATGTCTCTGCCTTTTAGTCTCCTTGTCTTTCTTCTCTCTTTTTTGCGTGTCGAATTTAATTCTACTGCATGGTGTGACAATAATTCTTTCTTTTATTTTACACCAACAGGTCAGATGTTCTAGGTCAATTCATGCCATTAGTGGGAATCGACTGGTCCCAAACAGGAGTTGCTCATTTATTCTCAGATATCAAGGTTTTTCTGTCTTGCCTGTGTTTTAGGTGCTTTGACATTACTACAACATGAAAATTGAATGTTCTATAGTTAAATCTTGAAATACAATGATCATATACATCAATGTCACTGTTTATATCAGCAATGTTCTTTGGCAGGTTGTTCTGAAATAAATAAGCTATTGTCTGTTAAGGCCACAAAATTGATGACTTCTATTTTACACGTTTGTTCATTCATTCCAATGATTAATTAATTGTCTAGGGAGTTTTAGGATTGAAAATGTCCATTACCCTGCCTATAACAACTATGTTTTTGTATGTGTGGGGTGTTGAATCTTCTCTTGTCTAATACACACTTTACAGGAAAATGGCTACCAGTTACTTTTCCTCAGTGCTCGTGCAATATCTCAGGCCTATCACACCAGACAATTTCTATGCAACCTTAAGCAGGTGATACATAAGTTTCAAATATCAGATGGACAAAACAAGACCATGAAAGAAAGAAAGCACTTGACGATCTCATATTCCTTTTGTTATGATGCAGGATGGGAAAGTTTTGCCAGATGGTCCTGTTGTTATTTCCCCTGATGGACTTTTTCCTTCTCTATATCGAGAAGGTAGCTAGTTTGCACATATTTCTTTTCTTTTTCTTCTTACTGTTCCTCTTCTCACTTGTAGGAATAGTATTACTATTTTTAGCATAAAAAAAGTTGCGGATGAGAAGGGGCCACACTATTTCAAGTTCATGACATACTATAAGCCTTGATAATGGTTTATAGTAGTCTACATCACTTGCTTCTGCCTAAACATTTGGTTTCAGTTTGAGACCCTCGGTACTCGGTGATTGACCTTGCATCTTAGACAGGGGGATTCAATGATTTTTTAATTTCTTTATAAACTATAACCATATGGATTGGATTCTGATAATTTGAATTATAGGCAAGAATCAAAACTCTAAATTAGTCACCAATAAAAAAATTTCAAATACACATTGCATTTCAACTCTATTTTGCATGGCATAACACTTTTGAGTAAAGCCTAAAAAAATTTCAGGGCTGTGCTTTTTAGCCCCTTAGATTGTAAAAATTCTCTATTATCCCCTAACTACACAAAAAAGTATCCATTTTAATCCCGTTTTACTTTTTTTCTTTATTGTCGTTTTATATAGGGTCTGCTAACAAAACATTTTTAAAATCTCGGGCATTAAAATTGTCAACTCAAACATCTTGTGGACTAATATGAGGATTAAACAAACACACTAGTTTTGTTGTGAGTTATCTTAGGTGATTCACTACCTTTTATTAATATGTTGTCAAGGCTTTGAGTATGGACACCTTGATGATGCTGCCTTTATAATATTTATAGGATTGTGACACATTTATACTATTTTTCCAGTTATCCGGAGGGCTCCACACGAGTTCAAAATTGCATGTTTAGAGGTTAGGTTCCCACCATACTAAAATCGGCAAAAGTTTTTATTTTTATTTTTTATTTTCAGTATGGTCATGTAATTAATAAGTGAAATTTCAATGGATCCAGGACATTAAGGCACTTTTCCCTCCAGATTGCAATCCGTTCTATGCTGGTTTTGGAAATAGGGATACAGATGAAATCAGCTACCTTAAGGTTGGAATACCGAAAGGAAAGATATTCATCATTAATCCGAGGGTACTTTTTTTATTTAGTTTGTCAATGCCAAAACTTCCTGAGTTGTTCATATTTTGCAAAACTTCTATTCTCATGTCTTAAGTTCTCAGGGAGAGATTGTTGTAAATCGACGATGTTTTGACACACAATCATACACCTCTCTGCATTCTCTTGTGAATGGAATGTTCCCCCCTACAAACTCATCCGAACAGGTTCAACTCTGAAGGGATTTTCTTTATTTTTTTCCCCTACCAACTCATTTTGGGTCTTCCCAGAGTTTAGTAGCATTTTTTATGATATAAGGATTTGTTCTTATTATTTATTGGCCTTGTTCTTCCTGAATATTGGTTGCAGGAGGATTTTAATTCGTGGAATTACTGGAAGTTGCCTGAGACCCCTTCTACTATAAATATGTGAAAGGGTCTTTTGGCATTTATCTTGTTCTGGTGCAGATAGATGCAGGACTGCATGCTGTGCTGCTCCAAGAATTATATAGGTAAATTTAAGTATGTGTAGACTTTAGTAGGATTTTTAATTTTAGTGATGATGTACATAATATCATTCCCATAGTTATTAGCTTGAGTTCTTCCTTTTCTTACTGAAATTGTTTTGGGAATTGTATTTAAGCTTATCTACAATAATTTGTTTGATATTTCTGTTTGGATTGTAGTGTGACCATTGTTGAATATGAAATGCAACAAATTTAGAACTTAGGCCTTTTAAATTGATTTAAGTCCCAATGTCTATATGCAATGTTTCAAATTGATACAAATATTGCTACTATAACTGATGTGTAATAGCTAAGCCTGATGAAAGCAGCATCATTCTGTGGAATTCGATGGACAGAGGATTTATGACAGCACAGTATACAATTTTGCCTGCTTCCTGCTTCCTGCTTCATTTACAACTTCTTCGGCTCAGAGGTGTAAACATCAGATAGCAGATAGCATTGTTTTCTTCAATGTACAATTTTTTGTAGATATTATTAATTTGATTCGATATTAATGAATATGTCAATAATAATCGTATGATGAGAATTGCATCAATTTAACATTGTTCTCTTCTCGTTATCAGTATGAGTGGCTTCATCTTCAGATTCATTTTCTCAACTTGTGAACGAAGGAACACATGCTCGTGTGTAAGTTGTATGCTTAAAGCATTAATGACAATATATTTTTGTTTTGAAAATCAAATAATATGTTTATTGATGGGAAAATATATATAAGAATCAACTAGTCATGAAAGTTGATCCAAGATTCGGGATGTCTTGCCCCCAAGACAGAGATCCATTTCTGGACCAAAAGATGTTAGTAGCTCATCAGAAAAATAGAACCTTTTAAATTTGGAGCAAAACACAACCAAATGAAGAAGGAAATTTGAAGAGAAGTTAATCGGTCTAATATTTAAAGACCAAAGTAATGAACAACGAAGTGACTGATAGTATCTGTCTAACTTGTTTTATAATAGCCTAGTTAATTACGAATTTGATTTTCTATCCACATTTGATCTCCTCTAATTGAGTTTAATAATTACCACCAACCTTCCAATAAAAGTGAATGCCAACAATTTGATTGGTATGCAAATTGTCCGTAAATCCAAATGTTGCTAAGATTAACATATCACATTTGCATTATTCGGATTGCAGTCTTAATGCTGAAAGCATAATGTCCTCTGACACATGCACAATAAAAATGATGGAATAAGTTAAAAAATTTAGGCCTGTGCTAATAGATTTTGGGCAAGGGTCATGGTCCTGCAAATAGACTCGCATCAGTCACCAAAATCACGGGCTATTCCTGCACAGTTTCTTCCTCCATGAATTAGTTATTTTAGAAATATATTCTAGATTAGGGATTGCAAAATGTATTTTTGATTCTAGATTAATTGTTTTAGAAATTTATTTTAGATTGGGTATTATGAAATATATTCTTAGAATAGTAAACGGTGAAAATGTATTATAAAATACATAGAATTCTGAACAACAAATTTAGAAATACATTCCAAAATATTACATCTGAAATATATTTGTGGATTAGTTTTTTCGAAAATATATTTCGAATGGAATGTTTTAGAAAATATTTTCATATTAAAAAATGTGTTCCATAATTTTCATGTAATATGTATAAAATATTATAATTTTTTATCTTATAAATTAAAAATACTTTTCAAAGAAAATGGAAGGAACTATGAAGATACCAAAGAGATATCGGTGTAAAAAAGTGGAAGAGAACAAACTTTTACGATTTTAGACAAAAATTAATAAAAAGATATTTTGATAATTTTACATAGGTTATAAATGTAGAAAGAAATTATAGGATATAGGAATAATGAAACAAATGACGTCTGGTGGCCATGATTCTTTTCATCAGGTTCGTGGCATTACTAATGAGCCAAGACTTATCAGTTATCTTGTCAATCTGTTTTTTTTTTTTCATTACATCAAAATTTTGACACTTTAGAGTTTATATCTCTATTCCAAATATATGTTGGAAAAATCAAGTTTTCAAACACAAATATTAAACGAGTTTTTTTATGATGATTAATGTGTTTGTGCCCAAAAATAATATGTATTATCTTGACTGAAAAAACTCATTTTTCTATCTAAATTATGATAAATAGACAAACAGAAACTTCAAGAATGAAGAAAGAGCATAAAGGAGTAGTGAAGAAGATCATATAACGAAGAACAACTGCGTCGAGTACACAAGAATATAAGAGATAATTTAATTAAAAGGATATTGAATTTAAGTATGAATATGAAATTTCACATTAGAAAAATGAGAAAATTGAGTAATTTTTAAAAAATTATTTTTAAAAAATTTATAATTTAATATCTTAAGTTGGGGATGGTGTCTTATTTTTAATATGATTGGCTCGTGTTGCGTGAGAATCTCTCTCAAAACTAGCTAACAAAGGGAACTTTTGCTTTGAGAGAAAATTGGGTTTTTCTGTGTTCGAGAATTATATGTTTATCACGTCTTTGACTGACCGGATAAACAGGAGAGAGGGGAAGAATTGACGGGGCACGATTTTACAAATCAGTTGGGGTTTTGGGTTTTAGGCTGAACCGATTTTTTATTTTTTTATTTATTAATTTTCTGTGCATTTGTCGTCAAAGTATATACTATTAAGTAATGAGTAAATGTATTTTAGGTTTTATTTTTATTTTTTTACCAAATTAAAATCTTACTCTTTTTAGTGTATATTTTTTTTTCAAATTTGAGGGAAAACGGTTAACATCTCATTTTAAAAAAATGTATATTAAAAAAATGAAAAATTAGATATTTAAGAATTCAAAATCCAAACAAAATATAAAAAAAGAATAAAAATAAACTTTTGTTTACATGTGTTTTCCATTTTACAAACAAGAATGTTACAGTCATCTATTAATTCCTTCAAAAGTCATTATGATCAGGTCAATTATAGTATTCTTTCATAAATTATTAGGCCAGCAAAATTAACAACAATTCTCATATAATTGAACTGGGGTTCAAATTTTACATTTGCGTTCTTAAATATGTTTTTATAATAATCTTGAATAACTTTTTTTTATGTAAGTACAAAGAAAAAGATATATTACAAAACTAACATAATTATTGTCGTTCGCGGTAACTTATATATATTTATGATTTTAACTACTTAATAATTATTAAATATATATTTTTTTTAATTTTAACATATCATCATTTCACCTAGACATGGCAACAGGTGGAACAATGCCTTTGACATATTTGACCATCTTTGATCTTCATGAGAGTTAAAAATTAAGTTTTTGTCTACATCTCTATTAGGTTTCGGGTTTACCTGCTCTGACACGTCCTCGTTCTATGGTATTTGATAGAGATATATATCATATATCTTCTTCTTTGTTTTTCTCTTCTATTTCGTTCTGTTTTCTTTTATTTTCTGTTTTTAGTTTCTATTACCTTCCCTAATTGTATGCTTGTGTTATATAAGGTCAAGCTCTAGTCTTGTACAATATATGGTTCCATTTAATGAATAACGGAAGCTATTTCATTTTTTTCTTCTTGATACACTAGCATGGTATCAGAGTAATCACGCTCTACTTCTTCTCCTTCAATGACGTCTTCAAATCACCTTACCAATCCCTCTAATCCCTCTAATCCTCTCTTTCTCCATGAAAGCCCTGTTCTTGTTCTAGTTCCCCCCCACCTCTTGCTGAAAACAACTATCAGCAATGGAAACACGATTTCTTCGTTGCCCTTGAAACCAAGAACAATGAAAAATTTGTTCTCGAAACCCTAATCTGTCCACCACCTAATGATCCTCTTCATGAAATCTGGAGGTCCTACAACAAAATGGTGATAGTTTGGCTTACTCGCTCAATGACCATTGAAATTAAGCAATTTGTCATGTGGATGGATTCGACAGTAGGAATGATCTTCTTCAGTGTTTCTCTCATGGTGACAAATTTCGTGTCGTTGATCTTCAAGAAGACCTGCAAAGCTGCCACCAAGGTGACTCCACCGTATCCCATACTATACTAGGCTTCAGATTATTTGGAAGGATCTTTCTTTCTACCGTACTGTTCTTATTTGTAATTGTATTTCTCCCTATGCTTGCGGCTTAATCTCCAAGATCTAAAAAGAAAGAGATGATGACTGTGTGATTAAATTTCTTCGTGGCCTCAATTATGAGTTTTCTCAAGTCAGATCCCAGATAATGTTCATGGAACCAATGCCTAACTTAATTAGGGTTTTCTTGTTAGTTCTCCAGCAAGAGCGAGAATTCAGTGACCCCTCTTTTGCCCCTTCACAAGATTCTGTAACCAATGTGAGTTTTCAAGAAAGCTCCAAAAAAGCCCCTCGTGGAGGATATTCCAATTCTCGTGGTCATGGCCGATCTAGTAAAGCTGGTGGACGCAATATTAAATTATGTGATCATTGCCAACAGATCAATCACACCTCTGAAACGATAAGGCACGATCTTCCTTAAGGCTATCACCAAGATAAGCCTAAGTCTAGTATACCAAAGATTTCTGCTAGCATGGTTGACACTACACCTCCTACAACTGTGGATGTTCCTACCACCAAGAATGAGCAAATGAATGTCTAACATGGTGTCTCCAAAGAACAATATGATGCACTCATAACTTTAATTCAGCAGTCACAACAAGCTTCTTCTGCCCCTGTTGTCGTCCATCAGTGCACCATTCAATCCTCAAGTTCTTTCTTTCCTACCACTTCTTGGAGTATAGATAGTGGTGCCACTGACCACATTTTCCCTTTTAAATCCTAGTTCAAAAATCTTAAACCAATTGCCCCTATTTCAATTTGCTTACCAAACAAAAATTTTGTCATTGCTAGCTTTTCTAACACTGTAATCTTGGGTAATATTATATTACATGACACCCTTTAGGTTCCTAGCTTTCATGTTCAGTTACTTTATATTTCTAAATTAATTAATCCCTTTAAATATCTTGTGACATTTCACCAGAACCACTATTTAGTTATGCAAACTAATACCTTTCGGATGATTGGAGTCAGTGGCGGATCTTGACCATTCATCTTGGAGGGGTCAAATAATATATTATTAATAAATAATAAATAAATATAAAATGAAGTAAGAAGATGAAAGGGTGAAAGGATAAAATTGTAAATATATACTTAAATATGTTAAATGACCATTAAGTTTAAGGAGGACAAAATTATAAATTATATGAGAGTTACAAAACTGAGGAGGGGCTGGGAGGATAAAATTGTAAATATACAAGTAAATATATTAAATGTTCATTAAATTTTGGGGGGGCCAAAATCATAAATTACATGGGAGTTACAAAACTTTGGGGGGGTCACGACCCCCCTCAACTCCCAAGAAGATCCGCCACTGATTGGCGTAGCTAAAAAGTATAAAGGCCTGTTTTACCTTACCAAAAACTGCAATTTGAGTGTATCAAAAGATAGTAGTTTTATACAACAT